CAGCACACTTGCCCAATATTTGCACTTCTGTAAAGGTCTTCCCTACTTCACTTAGTCTGTAAGCAAAATTTGCCATCACCTTTCCTAAAGTAGTGGGTGAACAGTTGGCCAATCAATATCAGGATATGCAACTTTATGTGCATTGTAGTTTCCAACAGCTCCAGCACACTTGCCCAATATTTGCACTTCTGTAAAGGTCTTCCCTACTTCACTTAGTCTGTAAGCAAAATTTGCCATCACCTTTCCTAAAGTAGTGGGTGAAGCAGGCTACAAAGGGAGTTAGAAGATATAAGAACTAAACCACATAAACCTATTACAAAAGCAAATCATTTATTCCTGTAGCATAACGATGAAAATTATCAATATGATATTTTAACTGCTTTGAGCAGTCAACTTAGTATATGTCTGCATCTAATATTGGCCATGTCACGCCCCGGCCAAACGGGCCCATTGGTGCGGTACAAGCCGTGGGACCCAACAAGTGTAATGTGTTGTTTTGCTCAATCTACTGCCAAAATCGACTAACCGATGTTACCCTTAAATAAATTAAGCGACTTAAATTATCACTCAATTCCTGATGTTGGACTAAATAGGAGTGTCACAAACACTCCACCTTACTTAAGCGACGTCCTCATCGTGACATGACAATTGCCACATCCCGGTATCACTAGGTTATGTGGACTCTAGAGGTGGCTCGCACCGCACTCACGCAATATAGCACTTAGCCCCGCATAGCACTTAGCTCCACACTTGCGACTCGCTACTGCTATGATACAACTTATACTGCTATGGTACAGTACAAGTCGTGGAACCCACCAAGTGTAACACATTTGGCTCAACCCACTGCCAAAATTAACTAGCCGTGTTACACTTGAGTCTTGGGCATACCTATTTAAGCAACTTAACTTCTCACTCATTTTCTGATGTAGGACTAAATAAGAAACAAAGACATGATTATATTATTTTTAACCTTCAGATTGAAAAGGTTCCATTCAATTTATTTCATAGCATCAAGCAAAAAACTCGTGAAGAAAGGAATGTAGAACATGTCCTGCAAACATATATGAACGAAGATAGACGGTGTAATCTTTATCAAACCAGTAATTATACATGATGTATTAGCCCCATGTATAAAATTCCTGAGTTTCAGCATGTAATCATTATTTAATTATTTCTATATATGCCCCCAATAAAAAGCTTACTTTTGTATAAAAAAATTTCACCGAAATGACCAGCCAGAAATCTTTGAGTTATTTCAACCAAAAAAAATCCACCACCAGGACATTAGGGAAAAATTCTTAGTGGAATATTACACTATGCACCTTAGATTAAGTTTAACTTTTTAAACCCAAGAGTACTTTGTTTTTCTTTGAGTACTCCCACTTCTCTAATCCTTCTCTAAACGTGCTCTTGTCAGTTGCATCCCTTCTCCATTTGGGATAAATTTCATTAAGAATTTAGGATTGCTAAATAAATTAGTTTATGGAAATGAAAAAGAATTTTTCTTTTTCCTTGAAGCATTCTCTGCATTTTCTTAGTCTAATAGCGTCTGATTCTTTTTTTTAAATCAATATATACAATAAACTATGTCCTTCTATGTGTAAACACAAATAAAAGGGAAATATAAGATTTTTAATTACGCTTATATAGCATTAAAGTTTTTGTAGATAACATCTAATCAAAAAAAAAAGTTGTTATTCTGTTATAACAAGAGTTGCCTCTTATCTAGAATTGAAAATACATCTCTGTGAGTGCGAGACAACATGGAGATATGAGGATTTTCCTTCACTAATTTGCATATTGCATTCAACAACTCAATCATCATAGGAAATATAACAGTGTTGAACACCTCCTTCAATGCCAATGCATGGGCTAAATTATTTATATCCTCTGATGTACAAGCAAAATGGAAAAACTCCAGTACCTAAAAAAGAATTTTGTAGAATCCGATGTCAAATATTAAGCATCAAATGAAATCTTTGAAACCATAGTTAGTCGTAGTTATAAAAAGAGGAAGCATAGAGTACCTACAACAAGGAACATCAAAAACTCACCTCAGCAATCTCAGCATTGGATTGACATTTCTGTTTCAAGAAGTATTCCACTGCATGAACATCGTGGTTAGTTACTGATAATCACATTTTATTATAATTTTATACCCTCATTATCTATTTTATATGAATAAATATGCCACTAATAATTATTTTTATTTTTAATTGTAGGTTAACGAAGAATAAATCTCAAACTACAATCTCTCAACAAAAACCCCTTGATTTATTAAAGAAATGAAGCCTATGAAGCCAAACAATTTCGTTCAAATATTTAATGAAGTATTAAAGCCCAAAATTGCCAAGAAGTTGTCCAAGGCCCAAGCCGAAGAGCAAACTCAAGAGGGATCTGCGGACAAGAACCAGAGAGGCCTTGACATCGATGCCAGTGTCGATGCTAGCATCGATGCCCGTATCGATGCCAGCATCAATACGCCTATTGATGCTAGCATCGATACCGTTGGTAGTTAGTTATAGATTAGTGGCTGAAATTCAATTGTTTTGGATAAAATGTTGATCCAATGGCTTACATTCACTGATGTTTACTATAAATAGGGGTAGAGAGTGAGGGGTAAGAGGTGTGAAAATTTTTGTAACTCCATTTGAAGAGGTGGGCTACTCTTAATTGAGAAGGCCTTCCAAATTTGTAACATTTGTTACAATTAATAATTCACCACTTTAAATATTTCATCTCTTTGTTAGAGGATAAAGATGGAGATGAAGAATTATTTGAAGGTTTGCATTTCTCTTTTATTTTCTTATTACTTATTAGTTTAGATTTATTTCTATGCTTGTAGTTAGATTTTATTTTCTTGTTAAATAGCCAAGAGGCTAGAATCCTCTTGTCTTAGATTTATTTCATGCTTATAGATTAGATTTATTTTCTTGCATTTAATTCATACAATTTATTTTATAGTTTAGATTTTTTAATTTAATTTGTGGTTAAATTTTAATTTCTTGCACTATTCACCTTAAGGCTAGAACGCTCTTGGGTTTAGTTTTTCTTTTTGTTCATTTTCATTTTGTTTGATTCGCTTTTAGACTAGAACCCTCTAGGGAATCACCCTTTTCTAAGAAGTTGGTTCAATTCTAGATTACCCATATCTTTAATTGAATCCACCATCTTTACTTTCTTAAATTTTATTTTCATTCTTGAATTTTTTATTTTTATTTATTTCTTAATTTTATTTATTTTTTCTTCTTGCCTTATTAATCACATTCATTTCTTGCCACATCCACTCTCACTTACACTTTGCGCCTATTTACACACCATTTTCACTCTCTCAATCTCTTCACAATCACATTCACTCATCACTCCTATTTGTCACGCACACAATATAAGAACCGATTTTATATTTTCTCCTATAAAAATACCTTCCTCGTGGGATTGATATCTTTATACTATAACTTGACACGCTTGTGCACTTGCAACCTTTTTGATACATGTTTATGCCGCATTGGTTACTTTTTCAATCTTTTACACTTCCAGAGCATCAGCTTTGCTGAAGCCACTAACTATACTTTCTAAATAAGAACTGTCATTCTCGCTAAAGCTTTGAACCTCCTTGATTTTGAGTATTTCTGATAATTTTAGCAACCATTTTACCTGAAAAAGAATCGCTTCTGATTAGCATTTTGCACTAAGTAGCCAACATGAAAATAACTACAGTGGCCAGCTTTGTTTGATCATGATGGGTAATGGAGAAAGAGGTAAACCTTTTTTACTTGTAAGTTACCTCTTTCTCCATTACCCAAGACAGGACTACACTATGACAAGTTTTAATGAAGACTGCTACCTATATCAAAGCAGAGGTTGGACGTTTTGTCAGATTGTAAAAGAAAACACACTAATAAGTATGACCTAAATAAACAATGTTTGATGGAGTCATACAAAAACTGTTAATACTACATCATATGCAAAATGCTAAAAGACTCAAGATCAACAACCTCCTCTTCACAATGATGTTTCATCTAAAATAGTAAAGTTCACACAGCCAAAATATATTCAACCAGTTGTCCAAATATGAGGAAAATTGAAGAAAAAGGATCACCAAAAAAATTAGATCATTCCGGATTAAACTTAATCATCATTGAAGATTCATAAGCCTAATTATTTGATTGAATACAACTCACTATAAATTGGGGACTGCCAAAGGATCATCTCAATTTATTAAAAAAAATTAAGAACGTGAAATTCAAAATACAACTGTGGAAGCCTTACATTACAAATTCAGAAGAAGAAAGAAAAAGTGACCTATAGCATATGATATTTATTATTTACTAAAAGTTTTATGCTCTATCCTAAAATATTCCCTCCCGTAAACTTATAAAAAATCCTATCTTTATTCAAAAATCCAAAAGATGCCATGTTTGAGAAACATCAACGTATTAAGATATGAGATTTAAGAAAACTGAGTGTTTGATACCAGGCCGATTTTTGTAGTGTTTTTTAGAAAACACCATGCCTAATTGTCGTCTTTTCAAAAGATTGTTAAACACCATTGTTAGTACTATCTATATAGCCGGGCGCGTGGTGGCGATTGTCGGCGGTCCGCCGACGGCAGCGGACATATCGCGGCGGGCTGGCCGGGTGAGCGACGTAGCCGGGGTCGGCGGGCTGCGTCGCGTTGGGCAGAGCTGGCACAGACGGCAGCTATACGCGGCGACGACGGCGGCCGTGGGGCTGCCGGTGGTGTCGGACTGACGCACGGCCGTGGGCCGTCGCCAGGCGGCAGGCGACGGTCCGAGAGGCAGCGCGCGGCCGACCAGCCGGGCCGCTCGAGCGATGCGGGCGACCGAGCTGGGCTCCGTGCGGCGAGAGTTGCGGCGACGGGCGCGGGGGCGCCACGTGACGCTTCAGCGGCCGGGAGGCGGAAGGCGGCGAACGGGGCGACGACTGCTACCTTCTTTTTTACACCGGAGCAGCTGCGGCGGCGAACCGGCGCTGAGGGACAGCAGCAAAGGGGGAGGCGGCCACCGTCGACAGCGACGTCTCGGTGCGGGGCGGCGAGGCCGCAGCCCGATGGCAGGTGCGGGGGATGCGGTGATGAGCTCGGTCGGGCCAGCGGCGGCGGGCAAGCGAGCGGCGGTGGCTTAGATGAAAAAAATGGAATCTCAAAACACCTTTTTGGTGTGCTTAGATGAAAAAAACGGAATCTCAAAACACATTTTTGATGTTTTAAGAAAAGTGTTTAATTTTTGGATTTTGTAAAGGGTCAAGTCAAAAAAACGCCCCGGTTGCCAAACGCGTTTCATTGTTTTTTTTGAAAAATGGGAAAATGGCAAAAACGCCATGGTATCCAAACGCTCCAGCAACGAAATAATCACAAAAAAGCAAAAAACAAGCATGCAGTCAATAAAAGGAAGGGCTTGTGTTAGTGAAAATTCCCCAGCTAGGAAACCGGGAATGGATATCTTTACCTTTTTAGTCGTGACTCTTTCTAAACTGCTCAACGAAACCCTAAGTGGTTCGAATCACTGAGGAGGGGTGGGCTGAATTCGAAACCCTAGCTGGCATGATCGTCTGCTGATCGAAGACGAAAAGGGAGAGGAGGAAATGGGCGACAAGAAAGCGAACGGGGCGCGAGGGGGTGATAAGAGCTTTTCCATGGAGTTGCAGACGAGATCGAAACCCTAACCCTAGATTTTTAAGGGGGGATTTGTTCGGGGTTTAGTGGAGCGGGAAAAAGGAACCGCGTTTTTGTTTTAAGAAATCGGAGAGAGCGAGGAGCGAGCGCGTCGATTCATTTTATACGCGTTTCATGTGGAGGTTAGGTTTAGTTCTTCAGATATTTTCTTTAAAAGGAAGGTAAATGATGGATAATATAATAATGCATATAGACTTTTGGCAAAACTTTGTTGTAGGTCCCTCGTGTGCTAGCCAAGTACCGTTTGGGTCCTTTCGGATCATCTATATCCTATTACTAAAAACTCTTACCCTTGAAAACGCCACTTGGAAAAAATGACACATATCATTGAAAACACCTCCGGACAAAAATATCTATTCCTATCTTCTTCTAGCACTTCGTTCCTAGCTCCGCCGCTTCAGATTCTAAAGCTCTGATGCATCTTCATTTTACCCTTTCATGAATGACACATACCCTTTCTTCTACCTCCTCACTCTTAACAATTTCCCCCACATTATTTGTTTTACCCTTTCTTCAATCCGACCCTCCAGGGCGTGGGTCACTTCAATCTGACCCACCAAGCCAAATCTGACCCTCCAAGCCGTGGGTCACTTTAATCCGACCCTCCAAGACGCGGTTCACTTCAATCCGACCCTCCAAACCGTGGGTCACTTCAATCTAACCCTCCAAGTCGCGAGTCACTCAAGTCTGACTCTCCTAGCCGTGGCTCACCCAAGTCTGACCCGCACCAGGGTCGAGACAGAAGACACTCTGTACCCATCTTTCTGATTCTGTTGAGTTCCGCCCCTGCTCTGATTGATCCGATACTTCCAATGAAGCCTCACGGTAGTGTAGACTCATTCAAAAGCAAGAAGCCAATGGCGGATCATCTTGGTCCTTTGTACAAGGATCAAGTTAAAGTTGCGATCAAAGAGCGCTTGGGTCCGATGACTGAACCCCGAGCAACTACTCGAACTGAGGGTCACACACGCCCTCGCAACAAGTCAGAGCCTTCCCATATTAGGAAAACCCCTGTAACTGACCGCCTCAGATGGTGAATTGAAGTCCAAGAACCCGTCAAGAGTTCACGCTTACAAATACGTGGCTCTAAACGTGTGACTCTTGAGAACGCCAACAAGGCGGCAAATCCCTAGAAAGAAATGTATTCATCTGACGTTGATAACGTTATACCTGGGAAGTTGTACCAACACACGATAGATTGCTCTGGTCATTATGCCGATAAGTTGTACTATCGGGCTAGGGGTACGAACAAATCTCAAAAGAGAAGTACCCGGGAAGTGGACCCTCAATGTCCGTTCGTCGAGATTATCAGGATAGTATTATCAGCATGTAACTACCCCAAGACCGCTGACCCTCAATGTCCGTTCGTCGAGATTATCAGGATAGTATTATCAGCATGTAACTACCCCAAGACCGCTCCATAGAGGGTCTTGATATTCGAGAGGATCTACCGCTCCATAGAGGGTCTTGATATTCGAGAGGATCTCCAATGAAACGACCAAGTCCAAACCAAAGTGTTTCCCTAAAAAACGATCGGCTGTTCAAGATGACGAATTCCAAGAAGTTACCATCAAATGGTCAATAAGGGAAAGTCCTTGATTGTTTCAAGTGGTTCTAGCCCCGACTTTTCTTCAGGAAGAAGAGTTAATTCAGAAATAGCCCATCTAATGTCTCGACTCTAGCTAGAAGCGGTTAGACCTAAACAATCCGGAGTCACAGTTAATATGGCTGATAGGGGAAAGTCGATTCAACCATTTGGTTCTGACCCTCTCATATCGCATCGTCTAACCCGGTCACGACCGGTAACCATCAGACAAAGGGATTATCTGATACGGGTGTATCTTCTCTTTGGAACTTAGCGATTCTCATGGGAGCTTGAGGATAGATGATTCTCATGATAGCATAAGAATAAAGGTGTCAAACAGTATAAGGGAACGCAGGTTGGAGTGAGAAACAAGGCAGAGAATCGAAGAGTCAAAGTATCCAGATTTCAGCATGTGAGTCGACTCATACATGTACATGAGTCGACTCATCAGGTTGAGTCGACTCATGCCTGTCATGAGTTGACTCATGAAACCAAGCTCAGTTTGTAGTTTGTCTCTGACCAGTCGACTCATCAGTTATGAGTCGACTCATATGAGGTCATGAGTTGACTCATTATTGGTCTTGAGTTTCGTCCAGTTTCGGACGAGCCGACTCATCGAAGTTTTCCAGATTCGTTAAGAACTCTATTTACGCGTTTTTCGGTTTGGGTTGGGTTTGGTTATTTACCATTTTGCCACCCTCATTTGTACACATATATAAGGGATTGTTTTAGGGCTTAAAAGGGGAGAGAGTTTAATCAAGAGAGATTAAAATTGTAATTGAGATTTGGATAGCCTGTTCTTCCATTCTAGAGTGAGATTGTGAGAGATTGTAAATTGCATACTCATAATCTAGAGAAGGTATTTTCCTTCGCCAAACTGAATTGTTATTCTTGTGTTCTTATTGTTTTCTCCTCTATCCACCTTTGATAATTCCGTGATCAAAGGTGCTCGCACGACAACTCATATCAAGTTGGTATCAGAGCATCATATCCGATGAAGGGGCATCCTGTGTATGGTCCTTACTCGATCACAGTACAAGAAGCTTGGCAAGATCCTTACTTCCTTAGAAGGAGCCCAAGATTTAAGGAAGGAGAATATGTCTGAAGCAGATAACTCAACAAGACTTGATGCCGTGGAAAAGCAAATAGAGACGATTGGTTCGACGCTCAGTCAGCTCGTAGGTCTCATTAACAAAGGGGACAAAAGGGAAGAACCTTCTTCGAAGGGTAAGAAGAAACTCATCGAGTCCGATGAAGAGAGAAAGAAGTCTGGTTCAGATGAGGGAATTGAGATTGTTAGGACTGTTGGACATCAAGGGGGTAAAAATAATTACCAAAATTTGAAGATAGATTTCAAAGTGGAGATTCTTATCTATGATGGGAGTGTCAATGTGGAGAAGCTCGATGATTGGATTGAGCGCATGGAGATGTACTTCACTCTCTACAGATATTCATCCAAGGAGAAGATCGTGTTCGCGACGTTGAAGCTTTCGGGTCACGCGTTGATGTGGTGGAA